CCGACAACTCCCGGAATCGGAATGTTACCAACCCTGGCATTTAGGTCGCCACAGACGAGGACATGATTTTTTTTGTTTATTTTGCTTATTTGTTTCTGAAGATCGTCATAGAACGTCCGTGTGTCCTCTTTCCTTCCTTCTGAGGCATACACGCCTATAAGTATTAAGTGGCCCCCCTCTATTTTGAATTTGCACGTCGCAATTTGCCGTACGAACGGGATATTTTTGGCTTGACCTCCAGAGGCGCGCGTCGGCTCTTATCTATCGCTTACTGACGGATGGCAAGCCGCGGTGCTCCGATTCTCACACATCGGAGCTCCGGCCTACGCTATCAGGCAGGGATGTGTTGATGGAGTACGGTCTTGCGGCAGGAAGAGCGAGCGTGGGCTCCTATGATATTTCTTGCTTTTACAGTGCGCTGCAGATCGTGAGAAGTATGTGGCAAGTTCGAATAGCTTACCAAGATCAAATGAAAAAGAAAACTAAAAGTCTCTACCATTCTATAGCATCACTAGCTTTGATGTTTTCCCATATGCCTATGTGAATGCCGGGAAACGCGATTGGTCTCAGGACCTTGTAGGGATTTTTTTTTAAATCCTTGAATGATCTTTTTGGGTTTTTTTCTCTAGATAATTTTTTTTTCTTTAGTACGGGCTCTTGCATTTTCGTTTTTCTGTATTATATTGTATTACGGAGCAGGCATCTTCACGCATTCCCTTCTGGCATGTCATAACATTTTTCTCGGTTTTTTAGCATTGACTGTGAATCCATATTTTAGCTCTTCTTTGTGGCATTTTGATTGTAGCTGAATGCATCAGTTGTGAGATATCTTCCATCACTTCAGTTAGCTGTTCTTGTTTTATCATCAAATTCAAGTTTTGTGCCTCCGGTATTTGTTCTTTTAGTTTCTGTATGTCAATTTTTCTTATTTGTTTTTTTTCTGTCTTGGTTTCATATTTGGGCCCTGGTTCGTCGGGTGATGCGTTACAACGGGGATGTGCTTTTTTTATCATTGTTTCGTCTGTAGTCCATTTCTGATGCTGTTCTGTTACAGTGAGGACTTCGACAAAAGTGATGTCCACACTGCTCGTCCCGTAGTGTACTACATATGTTGACATGAGCCTGTCATTCACTTGTGCCATTCCTTCCTATTCAAGCTAGCTCGATACGGGTTGCCTTGGTTTTCTTATCGAGTCTGCAGTTGAAGTCTCAACTATTAGTAATCAAATTAACTGTTAGTAGAATTATTTCGTCCCTTCTTACTTTACTGTAAGCAAGGGACAATGTGTCAATTATGTGCGATTGCAGTGAATTCAGGATTGAAATAGGAAATATATGATGCTGACATAAGTTCTGACAATAAGTGTGTTTTCATACTTGTGTACTACTTGAAAGAGAATTAGATGTGGTGCAAGTAGTCATGCTAGTCCACCATACGGTCGCCCCGTAATACCTTTATTTGTGTATTGAAGTACGTTGTAGAAGTTTGGTCTGTCGATGTGGCGCTCTAGTGTTACGATTGTTTCTGTTGGTGTGACGACGTCCACTTCTTTGAAAATATTTTCTGACGTTAGTTCTTGGGTTGATTTTAAGCCTTCGACATTCCAGTTCATTGCTATTAGTCTTGTCCTAGTATTGCTTTTCGCTCGTTCTGTCTCTTCAATTTTTAAATGGATGCCTCTTGTTTCCTGTGGGTCACTTCAGTTGAGAGTAACACCTGTTTGTTGCCTTGAGAGTCAGCGAAATACGAGGTACCGCCTCATCACCAGTCTTCCCGGCCAGAATTCTGATTTTTCTGTTTTTGTTAGATGATGGAAGGGTATCTCAACTTTGTAAGCGAGGTTTCTACCTTTTTGGGCTGCTTTTCACATTCACACAGGAGCTTCGTAAGGATTTAAATTGTTGATATTGGAGTTACCGATTGGAAAACAATGTCCCCTTCTCCTCCCAGCTCGTGACCTTGAGGCGCCACGTTAAATAAATCAAAGGGTATTTTCTCTTTCCTCAGCTTCGACTTTTCTCCGCTAGAAGCGTTGTTATACAATCCCTTCTCTCCGTATGTCTGACTGTACTTGGGATTTTATTTTTTGGCGGGTGATGGCCTGTCTTCACGATGGAATATCTCATGGTATTTCGGGTCTTTCCCGGTCGTGCCACTAGGTATCGCATGATCTCCAGCACAGCTCGATACGGTAGCGAATATGCCACATCTAGTTGCACGACCGAGAAAGATGCGAAATGCCTTGAATCCTCTATCATTAAGGTACAATGTTACTAGCGGAGAAACGTTCGAGCCGAGGATAGAGAAAATGCCGACTACCCTTTGATTTATTTAACGTGGCTCCACTCTTCACGACGGAATATCTCGCGGCATTTTTGCGTCTTTCTCAGCAATGCCGCTAGATATCACACGATCGCGACCGAATCGAGCAGTCTTGGCGATCATGCGACATCTAACAGCACGACCGAAAAAGACACAATATGTCATGAGATATCCCATCGTGAAGACGGGCCCTCACGCGCCCAGAAATACAAAGCCAAGTATAATAGGATTTATTTAACCATGCACTTGACGTAAATCAGCTGTTAAATATTTCATCCAACCGAGAGCTTGAACGTCCCTCATAGTGACGTCACTGTAGCAACATAAAGCTTCCGATTGGATGAAACTGCAGCACGTGAAAACGTCATGTGCACAACCAAATAAATCGTACTGTATATACCTGGTAATATACTCTCTGGCGTATACTCTGTGATATTTGGGGAGTTCCGCAGTAGTGTTGGGGTGGGGAAAAGAGCCGACATTACATCTGGCAACCCTGAGCGGTGGAGAGCAGAGGTAAATTATTTTTCAGGCGTAGTAGAAAGAAAGAAAATTCGTTATCACATACTTATTCCACAAGTGATCTGGAGACTTGATTAGTTATTACTCAATTTAGAAGTAATTGAAACCCAGAGGCGTTTGTAAGTACGGTTTTTGCTTCGCTGAGAAACTATCTCTGAAAAATCTTAAAAGACAAACTATGTATAGATGATTGTGTGATTCTTGTAAAATGGCCTATTGTATACTTATTGGAATGTAATGACATGTGGAGATGCGCCAGAACGCAAAAAGAAGAATTTCTTCAGAATTTCCGATTCGGGAACGTAACTAGTGGATTTGTTGGAACTGGAACAACAAATGCGTATAGTTTGATTTTAAGTCAGGATAGATGTGTGAAATGAATTTACGTATTGTACAACTTTCATCCATAACAAAATCACTTTGCACATAGTAACTAAGAAATGTATGCTTAAGTTCTCTTTAAATAATTTTGTTTTGTCAGTGTTATCCACTTGAGAATGTTCATGGAGGAATTAGTTTTATGTAATTGTGATTATATTATATTCTTAAGATCCATATTTGGATTTGTCATTACATGATGGGTAAATGTGAAATACATTAAGCCCCTCTATAATTTCTTACATGAGAGATGTAATGGTTCTATTGCTCAATATAATTTGTTAAAATATCTATTATTTAAATTCTATTTTGTGTATTGTGAGTTCTCATAACTAGGGAGAGGATTTTTATATATTGTAAAATTCTGAATAATACAATTAAAATTAACAATATATCATTTTATGAATAAATAGAATTCTATATAAACTTTCATGATAAAATTCAGGAGAGGCATGGTTCAAATGAAAAGATACATTTTTGTATAAACAATATAATCTACTTTATTAATTATTACCTAATTAAAGTAAATATTCACCGTAGTGAAGCACATTGTATGCCTTGCTGCATTTCTTTTGCCTGGTTTAAATAACATGCTTATCAAGAAATATCATACATTTGCACAATTATTTTATCATGTCTAGAAAAGACAAGAAAAAAAATACAACCGTGACAAGCTCTTTGTAATCAATAAACACTCCCTAATAAATATTCTGAAAACATGAAACCTTTAGATGAAGATAAGTCTATTTTAACCAAATGTGCACCAACCGGAGAAATCAGCCATGTATGCACTAACATATTAATCTACATTGCATCAAATTCTAACCAAATGTGAAGAAATTTCTCTGAGCCGTGCCCTGAAGCAAAATATGCATTATCATAGAAATCCCCTCCCTAGTTATAACATTAATAAGTGAATTGATGGAAATAGATGTAGTGTAAAATTTACAAATGATGTGATATTTACTTTACTAACTCTTTTTCACACAGACTTAAAGATTGGATTTTAAAGGAACTAAACTGATCTCAAAGGAAAATGTCGGGAACAACTGTTACTCCCACCTTGGTTCGGGCGGTGTATTCATTCGAAGGGGAAAACGTTAATGTGGTAAGAGTGTTTCATAAGAAATTGTGCCATTGTTGTAAAACTTTTAAAGCAATTTTACTATAACTGTAATAAGTTTTTAAGTACATTTTCCCATCAAATGTGGAATTGATTTTGTTCTAAGTTTCTTCTGTTAGTATTGTCATTAAACACAATCATACGATAAACTATTCAAAGTTATTGAATTAGTTTGTGGAATATAAAATGAATTTATTCCAAAATTAATTATTTTTTTTAAAATTTGAATTTGGTGTTAAAGTTGATAGACAAAAATATATCAAATTCAACTATTTTTCTCCGTCTGAAATTTTTTCAGCTTGATATATGCAATAAAAGCTGAAGAAGAAGAAATAAAACTTGAAAAACAATGCTGATTGTATATCTGCAATACTTTGCCCTAGGAGGCTGATTTTTTAGCAATCTATGGCATTTTCTTATTCTCTTTCAGATGATGATTGCGATCATTGATTTAGTTTGGGGGCTCTCTTCACTGCTTCATTTGGCTATATCCTTTGTATTCATGTAACAAAAGCTTGAATGTAAGAAACAGACAAAGAAATATGAAATAATATGCAATTGTAACTTGCAGTGGGTGGCCAAATTACACTGGTCAACAGTATATTTGTAACAAAGAAGGTGAAAGGTATTTTTAGCTAAGTCTTGGACACTGAATTCAAATAAATCAGTTTTTGCCTATCGAGCCCAAATTTCTTTTACACACTACTGTCTATTAACGGATACGCTTTAAAAAAACGCATATTTATTATTTTGATGTTGCTTTGTTTAATAATTTTGCTAATGTAATTGTTCAAAAACAATTGAAATGTGTACAAGAAATTCTTATTCAGTCACTGAATTCAGAAAATGCACCTATAGGAGATGAGAATTGTTTGGCAACATTGCTGATAGGTCATGCTCGAACAGACAGAATCTTCTTGTGTTTCTTGCCAGTTGCATCCCAGTATTGAGAGATCTGACAGCATGGAAAGCGGCTTTGATGTGACTGCTTGTTGCTCTAGGTTTGTTCTTTGTATTAATTCTGAAGAAGTGCCTCATAACTGTAAATGGCCCAAATATGTTTTGTTATATCTGTGGAGAATTAACTCAGAAATTGCCAAAACCGAACATTAATACTGTGAGAAGGAAAGGCTACATAATTTATTTTGGATGTAAGGTAGCTGACCAGGAAAATAAACTGAGCACCCATACATGCTTTGTGTCATGTTTCACACTCCTGACATGCTGGTTAAAAGATTCATGACGCATGCCCTTTGCTGTTTCAATGATTTGGGGGAAACCAACGTATCACACAACAATGTTATTTTTGTCTGACACAAATAGCTAGTCACCTTTAAAACAAAGCAAACCGTGCAATATTCTAATGTACCATCTGCTATAAGGCCTTTTTTAGACCAGTGATATACTAAAGTGTCTTTTAGGTCATAAAGTTTATTCGTAAATGGGTTGACGGATTTTATATGAAACTGTTTGGTAGCTTATTTGAAAACTTTGTTGTGCATTTAAGGATGGAATATAATTAAAAAATGTTGGTTTAATACTTTAATAAAATGTAAACTGATTTCTCAGTATTTTGTGAATCTTATTATGTCATTCTTGAGGGTGTTGATTCATTCTGGCATGCTTGTTATGTATTTCGTGGCCTTTCTTGACAATGCATGAAAATGTTTCCAGACCCGTCATTTTAACGGTATGTTCTTTCTTAGTTTCTCCCACGCTATCGCATTTATATCTGCTGAACTCTCTGACCAATCTAGGGTTATTATATTGTTTTTCTTGAGAAAATGTGTTATTTTTAGTGCTTTGTGACACAGAACTGAGTCGTGCATGAATAGTCATTCTGAAACCACTCTTTCACCAGAGGGAGGAGATTTTCCTGTAACACCATGTATTGGTTCTTCGTATATAGTAGAGCCTTCCTGTGCTGTAATGGCTAATAAACAACCATAATATAACAGAAAAAGGGTTTTTACTCATTTTACAATGCAGTCATTATTGTACTTCTCATTATGCCACCTTCGAATGAATGTTTGGTTTTGCAAGATTTGGATTGACAACTCGTCTGAGAAGCAAACGTGCAAAATAATATTTTGGGTAGTTTTTGTTCTTTTTCATTTTTAAACACCTACAAACTTTGTTCCAATCTTCTTCGGTCCAATTCCACTACTTTTTAGCAAAATTTAACCTCTTGTTCATCATTGCAGGTTGAATTCGGGTTTTCTCATAGATCATCGACACTTGAGGAGTAAACACAAAACGACAAATCGTGGAGTTAATGTCAGTAGATTCTCTGTAGTAGTATTATTGCTTGCAATACACATGATTACCTGGGTAACAATACTGGAAGAGAACAAAAATTTCAAACTTCTATCAGCAGTCACGCTTCACGTACACACCACGTACACACTACGTATAAGTGGCCAAGAAGAGCGATAAGGCAAGTTGGCCAGTGTTACCAACATCAAAAGTGATAAACGCATATATTTTAAAATAAGTCAATAGTTGAAATGCTACTTCAATTAAACGATAAAATAACTAAAATAGTGAAATTTTCATCTTGAGTGTAATCATTTGGCCACCCGCTTTCACATCCCACAAATTTTAGCGGCGGCGATGGTGTAACGGTGAAGCGTATCGAACTGTTCTACCAAAGTTCGCAGGTTCGAAGCCGTGGATTTTTAAGGGCGACAAGATCCTTCGTACGCATCCCTTCAAAGGGGAAGTAAAGCCGGCTATCCCATGTTAGTTGATTTACTGCATGTAAAAGATACCCAGGCCTAAATGAAGCCTCTGAGCTAAATTCAAATATCCTGTTTCGTCGCCCAAGAATTTTATTCTTTCTCCGCTAGGCCATAGAGCGGGCCTCATGGCCTGAGTCACGCCACATAAAATAAGGTATCAATTCAATTCAGCTGCCTGGAATCACCTCTTATTACGTACATGAAGTACAGAAAACACTGAGCGAGCGACATTGTTTGACGCCAAATTACAATAAACTCCCATTTTTGAAAAATGCAACTTCTTATTTGAAGATTTTTTTAATGAACGCATTTCATTAAGAAATAAAACTGCATCTTCCCAATTGTAGTTGTAGGAAGACACGGACAAATTTTTAATTTCCGAAAAAAAAAGTATTTCGACAATCATGAGACCTGCACCAGTCTCTTACGCATCTCAGATCCGAATGTAACTAAATATTTCGTGCTATTTTTAAGCAAAAAAGGTTTAAAGAAATGTTTCAAAATTGCCTTTGACACAAAATTTCCTCAAAATATTCATATTTTCGAAAAATTGAACATGATTCTATTTGAAGATGTTTTTGATTAACACTTTCATGAAGGAAAAATGTTTATCTTAATAATTGTAGTTGTAAGAAAGAGTTTCTGCAAGTCTCGGTATTTTAAATACTGTTGTGGAATATTATGTACGAGTAGGTGCGTAGGCTATTGGATTTTCTGACTATGTTGCGGAGGTAGTGATCGGCAAATGTACTCGCAGTTTTTTTATTAAGGCTGTGGCTAACATCGATAAGGCTTCAGATGGCAGAGCATAAAGCAGGCTGTTTTGGCGTCAGGCCGATAAGTTGGAGGTGGTTTTACTCAACGTATGGTAGTAAAATAGCCTCCCAGCATTCTCCAAGGTACTTAGGGCCGAATTCATAGTCGACACACTTGAAAAATAAGCAAGCCCTTAAGTGATAAATGCTTTCTCAAATTAAGAGGTCACTTACAGTCGCTCGTTTTTCGTAGTCGTTCCTTACTACAGTGAAATGAGTGTTCCCTTAACCGGAAGGGAAATATGGCAACATGATGTATGCGGCAGCTGTTTCGCGGTTCTTGGCGACAGAGTTTACACACTTAATTATATATTTGCCAAGTTTGTCGGGTGCGCGCGCAATATGAACGTCGTACGGCGCTCACTGCAACCTCTTGCTGGCTCAAACTGCTTCCATTGTATATGGAATGATGTTACTGAACATTTGTTTTTTACCAAATATTTTAAATTTGTGTAATTCATAATATTTTCTACCTCTAATGAATCTTCATGCAGAACAGATGTTTGGACATCGTTATCACATTTTCTAAGTATTTACTACCATCACTAATAATAAGCAATGTTTTGTAACAATATAATAATTGATTCTCATAATTTCAACGAATGTGTCTTGTGCATTTTCTACGTGTTATTTATGTGCATTATTTGGTGATAATACAATACTTAACATCGGATAAAATTTATTTCACAACGTTCACTTACATTGTAATGTAAATGGTACAAACATATGGCTGTCTGTATTGGTCATGAAACAATTATTTGGAAAATTAAAAATGTCAATCTCCTGCAATAAATTCCAATTTACAATGCCTAATTAACATTGCTTGACTTTTTATTCATGTTGCATATTCATAATTACTTACAATTAATACGTCTTATAAATTGAAGTAATGGGGGTTAAAAATATTAGGAAACATCTAAAAGGATAAAGTTGTGTAAAATCTTAATGTAACGAGAACTTTGAGTAACGGTGAAATCGGTAGGCCAAGACCTCTTTCGTCCCTGGAATTTTGTCGATCAGCGGCTTAGGTGTAGTCACTATTGTTTATTTAAACGAAATCGCTTTCGGAACTGTTCGTTAATGTATATATTCACAAGAGATTGTTCCCTTCACTAATGAAGCTCAACTCAAAATGTTACACGAACTCTGACCCTTTTTCATAAAACGTTTCACTAATGGATCGTTTTAGCTAATACTATTTTTCTACTGACACTGACAAAACGAATGCAAGCAACAAGACAACTAATACTGAACGAAGACAACTGAACGCCGCATAAGAATATACGTTACATACTCTGTAAGAATACGAGGATAACCTAAACTGGTTACGACTGACGGTGCGAGGTAACTATAAGGGTCACTTATGGGAGCCGGCTGTCTCCCTTATAGGAATGAGTGTTCACTTAATGTATTCAAAGGCTGTTTATGAATAATATGCGTTCACTTAAGGGAACACTGTGACTGGTTGAGCTCTTCCAGATTGCCGTGAGACTCCCCTTCGACGAGCACATGCATAAAGTCTGCGAGAAGGCGTCCCGCGTGACCCTTGGCTTGAATTATGCCTAATGTTGGGAGCCCAAGGCAAAGTATCCGGGTGTTACTACCTAGCGCTGTCAACTATATGCTTCTTTATGCAGCCCCCATGGGGGGGGGGGTCCAGTCGCATGCCTGCGGTGCGAAGTTGGTGTATAGGTCTGCCTTGAGGGTGGCTTGGTTGTTTCTCATGGTTATGTGTGTTGATGTGCGTGATAGCCCCTATAGACATAATCGCACAAGAAAAGGTCAGGCTCTATACACATTAGCCAGAGGGAGCTACAAATAGCATCATAATGGAGGAATAGAGGAAGGTGACAGTGGCACTGCGGCAACATCTATGTGTTCTATAATCCACTGGAAGACGGACATTCTGTCGTATTCCTCTGTAACGAAGTGACCCAACAGGAAATAAGGAGATTTGGATTTGGCGCAATTGGTAGCAGGACATGGGTGCTACTTGGCGTATAAAACTGTTTCCGGTTGGATGATGACTCATTCATAACGTGAAACCCATTGGTTGAAGATGTGGAGAATTCATTCTGTCACTGCCCACGCTTCGTTGACGCCACCAATGACTCCTGTAGGTTGTGATTCCTGGTTCCATCGTCACTAGGATTCTGGTGTCCCAAGAGTATTAGAGGACGGTAGTTACATATGTCGCAAAAGTATTTAAGAAGCTTTGGTTAGAAGAACGACTGCGAGGGAGTATCCCTTGACATCAGTTGGCATAGAGAGATTTTTGGTGGGTAGGCACAGGCTAGCCGTCAATAATCCCACAGGCTGCGGTGTGCGGACTCAGCGGTGTCTTTGGAAGATTTTCCCCTTGCCCTCGTAAACACACATTCTCTCTCTCTCTCTCTCTCTCTCTC